TTTGGATGATGATCAAGAACAACAAGGGTGTGAAGCACTGGGCTCCCAGAATGAATTAAAACTGTTGTGGGTTCCTGTGAAAAAGCAGAAATCAGTCTGAAGAAACTCTAAAATGAGGGGTGAGGCACGTTGGTGGGGTTCAGCGGCCACAGTCTTGGGGTGCAGCCTGCCAGGGCCAGGGGGAGAATGCAAGGGGGTTTCTTGCCTCTCTTCCATTTCCTTGGGATGACCAGTGCCTACCTGCCACAACACAAATCACCCGCGAAGTCTGTGAGTAAGAGCAGAGCAGCACAAAAGCTCTGCCGTGGGATGGCTGAAGTCAGCCACAGAGCAGCTGGCTGCCTTTGGACTGTCACTCCTTCTCCTCCCAAAGACCCCGAGACAAGGGGCAGCGTTGTGGGAAGGTGATCTCTTTCCACGCTTTTCGGCGAGGAATTCCCTGGTAGACTGGCAGCAAAGGCTGCTGTATTGTCTCTATGCTATCCATCCTCCCTCCTTTTATTTCCTCTCGTTTATCTCACTGGGGCTGACAGAGCCAGCCCTTCAAGCCATTCTCGTTACACAATACTGACCAGACTAACAGCTGCTGCCCTCCAGAAGTGCACAAAACAAAACACACCGGAACACTCTGACGGAAAATCGTTTTGTACGCCAATAAAATGTTTTTGGCATAAAATGTCTCATGAGTCATTTTAAATCTGTAGGATTTGTTGTGATACCCACTTTTTATTCCCCACAGCCATAGATTGTATTCCTCTTCTTATCTTTAATTAGCTCCCTCTTCTTGATGCGAATAACTCAGAGTTTATCAGTTTAGTTGGGGTTTTCAAAGAGTTCCTATTTTGGCTTTGCTATTTTTTTCCCCTTCTTTTGTCTGTTTTTTGATCTCTGCATTTATTTTCTTACTTTCCTGTACACTGAGTTTTATTATTGTTCACGCTTCTTTCACAGAATCTTAGATCGTTGATTTTAGACTTTTAAAGATACTTTTTCTAGCCCTCTCAAATTTGGCTAGCCACTTCCTTACACTCAATAAAAGTTCAAAATATTGTTATCACAGATGTGAGCATTTCTGTCCTTCAGCCCTTCCTCAGCCAGGCCACTGGCTTCCGCTGGAGAAATCTGCATGTCTCAGCGGGAAGCCTCTTTGCTCTCCTCTGCTGGACATGCTATTAACATACCATTTCTATGTATTCTCTGAATACCCTTGGGAAAAATATATGGCTGGGTTCATAGTTGTTCTAAACCTCCTTTGATCCTAATTCTTCAAAGGCACCTAAGTTCATGAACAGTTTTGTTTGTGCACAATTTTGTTTGCCAACATAAGTGGCAATATTTTGCTTTTGTTTGCAAACTTTTGTTCTATTTTGTTTTGCTGTGAACTGCACTGGGTAATGATCACGACCATAGCCATCTCTCCCACACAAATGCAAGCATGGTAATTTTCCCACAGTCATGCAACAAATTAAGTTCATGAAATGAGGCACCATTGTACTATATGTGAAATTAAAAGTTTGTTAAAAGTGTAACTGGTTTATCAGTTATCTGTCATTGTATAACAGACTAAAGTATGACCTAGTTTAAATGTCCACTTTGTTAGGGTTTGTGGCTTGATTTCCTCTAAAGCCCCATGTGATCATAGATGGCATCTTGGGAGGGTGATTGGATTATACGTGTATTATAGCTGATTTACAGTTAGGACATGGAGATAGTCAGAAGAGGCAGGCCACTGGGTGAGAGAACACTTGGCTCTCTGCTTCCCAGCTTCCGTGAAACGAATAACTATTCCTCTGCAGTGCTGTGCTGCCACGCCATCCTGACTGTTGGTTGAAATGTGAGCCAAAATAAACCTCTCCTCCATGAGTTGTGGATGTTGGGTATTTTGTCCTACTGACAAGAAAAGTGACTAAGATAGATTTAAGTACCAGAGAAGCGGGGTTGTTGTTGTGATGCTACCTGACCATGTGGTTCATGGTCAGGTTTAGAGCTGCTGGTCAGCAAAAAAGCCTTAAGATGCCGTAAGATGATTTCAGTGGGAGATTCTGATTGGAGCTCAGAGGACCAGAATGTTGATAGAAGCACAGACAGTAAAGATCAGGCTCAGAAAATTTCAGTTGTTTTAACTGGATTACAAGGACTCTATTGGTATTTAGACTCCAGAACTTGTGGTTATGTTCTGGTAAAAAATATGTCTTTATTTTTCTCACGTTCTGAGACTTTGTAGGTAACTGAGATTTAGGGTGGTGGATTAATTAATCTGGTAGAGGAAATTTCAAGGCAGCCTAATGTTCAGTCTGTTGCATGGGTATGATTGAAGGTTTTAGACAGATCTACATTGAGAATTAAGAGCACATGGCACAGCTGAGTAATTGGAAAGGCTTTGAATTTTATGTAATTTATGTGAAGTTGAGGTCTGGAGTGGAGGAGACCTTGGTTGCTGAAAAGATTAGCATTGAAAAGTTGCTGTAGGATTCAATGCTTTCCCTGATGGGTTTTGGTCTTACTTTGGTCCCACTGGTTGCTGTACACCTGTTTCTTCCTTTTGGAATGGGAATGTTTATGGCGTGGCATTGTGTGTTGACAATCTTTATGTTTTCTTTGATATTAACAGGAGTTCACGGCTCTGAGTTTGCCTTAAGTGTCAGGGGAGATTCTGAGCTTGGATTTTTCAGCAGTGCTGAAACCGTTAGGATTTGGTGACTTTTAGAGATGGAATAAATGCATTTTGCATACAGAGATGTATATGGACTTTTTGGAGGCCAGGGGTGGAATGTTATCATTTATATTTAGATGTTCCTCAAATCCTCATGCGATCATAGGTAGGATCATTTTGGAAAGTGATCGGATTATAGGGGTTTTGCAGCTGGCTTGGCTGTAGGAAGTGGGGCCTGGTCAGAAGGGGTAGGCCATTGTGAGTGTGACCCAGAAGGTTATATCTCCTTTCAGATCTCCTCCTTGGGCTCTCTGCTGCCTGACTGTCCTGAGGTGAACAGTTTTTCTTCCACCATGCTCTTAGGTCATGCAGTCCTGCTTTGGAGCCAACCTACTGAGGCTAGGACATAGAGGAATTTAGGCAGATAAGACACAGATCCTGAATAGTTAACTTCAAGTAAACTAAAAGCCAGTGCCTAAGTAAATTAGCACACCAAAAGAGGCCAAGCAAGCAAAATTTTGCTGAACACTTCTGTTTGCAAACCAAATGGTTCAGGAACAGAACAGAAGTGTTTGTGAACGGAGGCATCACTATATATATATAAAAAAAAAACCTGACAGATTAATAATTAGATTCCAGATATTTCACTGATTTGATCCAGTAAAGAAATAACATCTGGGCTGGGGATGTGGTTCAATGGTAGAGTTCTTGTCTTGCATGTACAAGGCCCTCCGTTCGATTCCCAGCACCACAAAAAAATCCCCCAAAACAAAACAATATCTGTTAAAGCAGTTATGTTTGAAGTCACTACCTGAGTAAGTTCATAAAAACTATTGTTTTCATGAAGACATCTGTCTTCTGTACAAATTGAATGGAGACAGATGGAAATCACTACCTGTGTATTCTTCAAGTCCTTTATGATATAATTAACCTCTGCAGCTCCTAAAGGATACAACAATACTAAAATTAACACAGCAGTTGCTGGTTTTGTCTTAGAGTTACTTACACAGTTTGGTGACTATCTCATGTTTTTTTGGTGATTATTCTCTGATCAACAATGACTTCTCTGTCAACAGTGTGATGATACTGATCTACTTTAGTCTGAAACCAGGAAAAAGAGAAAGTTTGGGCAAACTCTTACTACCTTTTTGAGGGTGATAACTTTACAATACTTATGTTTTCTTCTCATGGTTCCTGATAAAGGCAGAGACTCTAAAAACTTTCCAATAGCCAGATCTTGGACCATGTGATGAATTCAATTCTGGGAAAATTCTGGGTAATTCTTATGGCAAATGGCAAATAAATATGCACTTAAAATAAAGCCACATTGACATCTGATGGGCCTCAGCCTTTTCTCCATGACCCAGACCTGTACTTTTCCATCTGAATTTTCTCACCTTCTAGGGGAGTTTGGTGACTTTAATCCAGGTCTCCTTGAGGTTGTATGTAGATCCACTCTCAATATAAAATGTCACTCACTGGATTATTCTAACTAGGCAACAGCTAGGCAAATTGCACTGTCTGCCTCCTCACACCATGTGCAGTGTTTCTTGGTTTCTCAAAGGCCAGGATAGAAACCAGCCATCTTTGTTTCCTACCTTAGCTTCTTTAGCCACAGGGCTTTCAGCATTTTGACTTATGGGATCATGACCACTCCTATGATTCATGTCAGATCTGTTTGTTTTAAAGATACATTTTATGTCAGGGTTTTCAACTCTTAATATTCATTGTTTTAAGTTGATGTCATTATTTTTAAGTAAATGAGGCAATACCGGATAAGCACATAACTATTAATGAATTTTTAGTCCAAGTTGTAAAAACAATTGCCAACTTGATGTAGGTTAAAGTGGGACCTTCAGAAGTCAATTTGGATTTTAGTGATTAAAAAGTTCACTATAAAATGTAAAAAATCTATTATCCTTATCTCATTCCTCAGGTGTCACTGTCATCTTTAGCTTTGGACTTAAAATGCAGCTTGTAAAATTTATATGTATATTAAGACTAATTGGCTTTTAAACTTTTTTAAAGGGACACCTTTAGAAAAGTATCTAGTTGGAGTTGACAAATGTAGATTTAAATCAAGTGAAGCAATCTAGGACCTCAATATGGAGTTTTAGTAAGTCAGTCATTACATTCACACATATATTCTTGATATGAATCATTCAGAGACAAGAGGCACTGGGCAAAGAACTATTCTCTCACAGAAAAGGATTGTAGATTAGGAGATACCTGCTTATGTGAGTAGGGGGTAAGTGTGATAATTTATGAACATGAGTGTTAAAGTATTTTTAAACATGGTCCTAGACCAGAAATCCAGAATAGCTAGTTTGTAGCTACAGAAACAAACAGTGCTTGCTTTGGCATTGCGTACTAAAATTGGAATGATACAGAGATGATTAGCACAGATCCTATGCAAGAATGACACACAAATTTGTGAAGTGTTTCATATTTGCCTGTGGTGATGCACACCTAAAAGTCCAGCATTCTGGGAGGCTGAGGCAAGAGGGTCACATGTCAATCCACGCCTGGGCCATTTCATGACTCAAAACAAAACAAAACAAAATGTTGAGGGTGTAGTTTAGTGGTGCAGAACTAGATTAACATGTTCAAAAGCCCTGGGATCAATACCCAGTATTACAAAACAGACACTCACACAAATAATCAAATGAACAAAACATATAAGCACAAACAATAAAACAGAAAGCCATGCTGCTTCTTCTCACAACACATTCCTGAAATGAGGCCCTATGACTATAATTAACATCAGTTAGACTAGAGGCTCATCAGAACTCTTGCATTTGCAGACTCCTTCTTGCCCTCATAATGTCCCCACAAACCACGTTTCTCTTGGGAAGCCAGGACCTAACTCCAAGTACCTTTCTTCTCTATTAGTTTAAAAGCATGAGGAATCCAACATGGCTGGGAGGCAGTCTCAGTTTTTACTTTCATGGAATAACTGATGTGTCACTCAGTAGAAGCACTGCTTATGGGAAGTCAGAACTCTAAACCAGCAAAACTGAAGCAGTGGAAAATAAAATTTTGCTGGAAGATCACTAGAGATAACACTGAGAACAGCCATTTCCATTTGCATTCCTATCATAGATCATGTCTGTGGGAGGAACAAGACCATATGTTAGCCAACATTCCACCCCTGTGACAAAATACAAGTTAAAAGAAAAAAAGGTTTACTTTGGTTCACAGTTTAAGAAGTTTTAGCTCATGGTCCATAGGTTTTGTTGCTTTTGGATCAGTAGCAAGGCAGTGCATTATGGTGAGGGACCATGTTTAGCTCATTGTGCTTGGTATCAGGAAATAAAAAGCCAGAAAGAGTCTGGGACCCCAATATCTCTTTCAAGAGAGATCTAACTTTCTGCTACCTGGGTTTCCCTCCTATTGGAGAGTCATGATCAAGCCTTTAATGCATGGACCTTCGGGAGACATTTTAAAATTACAAATACTCATTGCTTTAGAGAAGCTACATGAGAGCCACTAAATGCTACCATTTAGCTCATGCCATAACAAAGTCTTCAAAAGACCACTACACAGCTGCATAAGCCCAGTAGCTTCGGAGTGATGGGGAAAGTGTAAGACTGTGGATTCCTGTGTGCATAAGCCCACTGACGTACTTCATTTACGATAAAATGAGTTTCCTAGCTAGAGGCAATGCTGTGTGGAGTGTAACCATGATGAATAAAACATTCTCTAAACCCATGGGTTGGCAAAATCATTGAGGGTCAAAGGGTAATTTTGTATTCAGAGAGTCTATTCTAGTGAGACAAAGTTCTGGCTTTTCCTTGATAGAATGACTCCAAGTAGTTAACTGGCGATCAATGTCTGGTTAGTTCCCCTGGTGAATTGTGGCATACAGAGGACTTATTATTGGTCTCTGCTATTGGTGAGCTAGGGATTTCTGCAGCTGCTGTAGGTGAGCAGGCTTTAGTGAGTGAGACTCCATGCTGTTGAGTTCATGTAAAGCCTTCTTTGCTTTGTCGATGTGTCTGCTGGGGACAGAGATGACCTGAGTTTGTTCTTTGTTGAGCATTCATAGGGGACACAGATGCTTTATACCTTAAGTCTATTTGGCACATCTTTCTTCACAACCCTCAGATCTTCTCTTTTCACTTTTCTAATTGTGTTTTTTTTTCACATTGGGACTATAAAAGTGCATTACTGGCTCTGCCAATTGACAGATGACCACTGATGGTCTTTTCTCACAGGTGCAGGGATAAAGACATTTAATCAGTAGTTACACACTGAAGATGTGCTGATTTGCCCCGGTGAGGAAACAATACCTGCAATAGGAGTAGGTTTTGGAGTCACCACTTGATTAAGCTCATGAAAACACAGCATCATTTTCTTAGATCCATTTGCTGCATGGATCCCATTGCATGAGTTGAATGGGGGTGTGGTAGGAATCACTAACTGTGCATCTGTAGAGTCCTTTAAGATGCAAATAGTCCCCCAAGAAATTGAATATTGTTTTTTAGACATTCACTTATTTTTGTAGTGTAATACCTCTCATATCATGCAACAGAGAACTGATGGTGGGATTCTGTAAGTATTTGATAATGACTTGTTCAGCTACACATTTTAAAAATGGAAAATAATCACAGTGTGGGTTTGGAAACCCACTGGACTCATAATTCCTAAGCCCAAATGTCATTAATTGCTTAATGCATATTAACCCTCCAGCCACTTACTGGTAGATTGCAATGACATTCAGAATTTCCAGGAATTGATGCTGACACAGAGTTTATGTCCAATAATCCCTTGAGAAATATGATTATTTCTACTTAATCATAAGTCCATTTAGAGAAGTTTAAGGGGGAAGGTTTACACTGCAAATTTTAGAGGTGTAGCAGGATCCTTCGTTAAAGAGTCTTGGCTCACCTGCCATATATGTAGAGGTGATATACATATGTTTTTATTTACATTGATAAGGATAGAACCCAGAACTCAAACATGCTAGGCAAGTACTTTTCCTGTGAACTACATTCCTAGCTGAAAATATATGACACATAAAAGAGTATTACTGAGCTATAACAAATATAAAGCTCATAATATGCAGAGTACAGTTCAATGGTTTTAGCATTTGCAGAGCTGCACAATATCACCATAATCTAATATTAGAGCATTTCATCTCCTCTAAAGAAGGCTTATATCCACTGGAGAGCAATCCTAATTGCCCTCTCATCCCTGCCTTCACTGTGTTCATCCCTGGGCAACAACTAACCTGTCTTATATTCTACAGATTTGCTTAATCAAGGCATTTCAAATAAATGTGGTAATGCAATATGTAGTCTTTTGTGACTGGTTTCTTTTCTTTTATTTATTTTTTTTTTTTTGGCTTTTTTCATTTTTATCGGTACCAGGGATCGAACTCACAACTGCCTGCTTTCAAGGCAGGTGCTTATGCCGCTGAGCTAAATCCCCAGCCCCTCTGGTTTCTTAATATATTTGGAGATTCATTCTTGTTTCAATTATCCATATTTCATTTTTTATTTCCAGTTAGCATTCTATTGAATGAATATGTTATATGTTTCTTTTTTCTTTTCTTTACCAGTAGAGGTTATTTAATATTTTTCTATTTCTCAGCTATTATTAATAATTCTTCTTTGGTCATTCATGGACCTGTATTTTGTGTGGGCCTTTGTTTCACTGTTCTTCCAAAGATACATCAAGAGATTTGAAAATACTAGTCCACATCACTGTGCTTGGAATATGGTCTTGCAGTGGAAAATAGCCTTTCCAGATAAAAGTTCCAAGGGCCAGACTGGAGGTGTGAAAAAGAGGCTGAAAATAGAATAGGGATCGCAATGGGCAGTGTGATCAAGATTCAGAGCATAAACTGCCCAAATCACTGCTGACTGCTAAGTTGCAGGACCAGGCAGATGTCCAGGGGACACAGGAAAGGCCACAGAGGCCATGAAGAAATCTGCTCATAAAACAGAAAGATGTGGAACTGGACCTATGAATTCAATGCTTCTTTTTTGACTGTGTTCCAGATCTAGGAACCTCATCCAATGGCAGAAAAAATTAAAAGAAAAATGTTACACACATTATACTCAAACTGCTGAAAGCCACAGTCAAGAGAAAATTGTGAAATCAGTTGGAGAAAAATAAATTACATACAGAAGACATCTCATAAGAAACTTGCAAGCCAAAACATAGTGAAATGAGAGATTCGTAGAACGGAAGAAAAAAAATCAGCAATCAAGAGTTGTATATCCAGGAAAGCTTAACTGCAAAAGTGAGAGGGAAGATCTATCCCCGGAGCCCAGCCTATTTGGGACTCTTTCACAGTCTGGGTGCAGAGCAAGGGCTGGGTAGATCTGGGGCACCTGCATCTGCCTCCCTAGGTGTCTGGAGGACTGTGGATTTCTCAGCAAGCAGGCGAGCATCACCAGTTCTAGAGGCCCTGAGGCCTGCGGTAAGTGCCCAGTGCACTCTGCCCCAAGCCCAGACTGTTCGGGACCCTCGAGCCTTGCGGGTGCAGTGAAGGGGCTAAGTGGGCCCCAGGCACCTACATCTGCCTCCCCATTCTGGCTGTGCTTGGAGAACTGTGGAGTTTCCAGAAAGCAGGCAGGTGCACAGTGTCCCTGGAGCCTAGCTTATCTGCAACTATGGAGTTCTAAACAGGTAGAAGAGGGCCACTGGTTCTAGGGGCTCAGCGGCCTGGGGGAACTGGGTACCAGAGTCCCAGGAGCTGCGAACATAGAAGTGATTTCCAGCAGACCATGAGGAAGCTTTCAAATAACACTTGAAACACAGAAATATAGGAAAATGACAAAACAAAAGACCAAATTACAACCTCAAACCTCCAGCCCATCTCAAGAAGCCCTAGGAGCGATGTATATAGAAGAAAATATATGCCATACACCTCAAATATGGACATGATAGCTACTGAAATAAACAAGCAATTCCAGGAAGCTTTAAAGGAATTCAAACTTGAAATAATCTCTCAGGTAAAAGAAGAAATGATAAAAGAAATGAAAGAGATTCTGAATATATCTAAAGAAAACACAGTTAAAAAATTGGAGGAACTAAACAAAAAGGTAGAATCCCTAGATGAGCAATATAAGAAACAAACAGAATACATAAAGCAGATGCACAGAGATATACAGGAAATAAAAAACTCCACTGAAAGCTGTAAAAACTGCCTCAATGAAAATGAAGACAGAATTTCAGACCTTGAAGACAGGATTGCAGCTAGTGAACAGGAAAGGAAAGATCTTTTAAAAATAACAAGGAATCAGGAAATAACAATTCAACAACTGGGGACTCCCGCACCTCGCCATCGGTGTGCAGAGGAGGGGCTGGGCGGATCTGGGGCACCTGCATCAGCCTCCCCCTGTGTCTGGAGGACTGTGGATATCTCAGCAAGTAGGGGAGGATTGCAGGTTCCAGAGGCACCGCGGCCAGTGGTGAGTGCTCAGTGCATTCTGCCCAAATC